CAGCAAAGCTGAACACAGCAAAGTATGATGGTGATCTCAATTTGAATTCTCTCTCTATTTTTGTCTCTATAACTAGCATTAGAGAAAAGCAGACAGCTGATAGAGCAGAAGTTTGTGTAAATTATTGTGCTTATCGTAAGATTTCATAGTTTGTTTTCATGGAAAAGTGTGGATATGTTTATTTTTGAGAGGTGGATTTTACTTGCTTGCATCAACTTCTTTCGATTTGTCACTATATGTTTCATTAACCTATGGGATCTTTTTTTGGGGGTCGGAGATGGGTGGTGGGGGGAAGAGTTGATGATGAATTTGGCAATGAATAAAATACAAATGTTCTTAAGCTCTTGACTATGTTTTAAAAAAATGAATTTTGTTCCTGAAATTCATTTTAAAATTTATAGTTAAAATCATAAGAGGTAGGAGATTCTTGAACAAATTACTAAACTTAAACTTCAAAAGTTTTTAATAAAATGTGAAGTGTATTACTTAAATTTTATTAGAATTTTTTACTTTTTCATAATCAGAACAAGTATTAATCTTCTTATACAGTTAACGAAAAAAAAATGTGTATTTTTTTCAATGTAATCTTAATTTATTTAATACAGAAATCATAATGTGTAAATGGTGATAATTTTAGGTTAATTAATTTATGATATGATGTTGGTATGATGAAATCTTATTTATTTTCATTTTTAAATTGATAATATGGTTATTTGATGGTGTTTTATAGTATTTAAAATATAAATTTTAGACAGTTTTAAAATTACCAATTCAGTAGTTTGTAATTGATTCATATTTTTATTTCGTTTACATTCTCATTAAATTTTATTAATTTTTATTTTATCTTTATTATATATTTGAATAATAAATAAATAAATTTTAAAATTTAACTCATAATAAATAATTATTTAAAATACTTTTAAATTTTTTATTTCTTAAAATAATTTTAGATTTTATATAATAATATACAATTATAATTATTTATTTTTAATATATAAATAATTTTAATTTTATTAAAATAAAATAAATATAATAATATAAATAATAATTATATAATTTTTTTATTCCATTCTTTTTATATATTATTATTTTTTATTTAATATTACATATAATAAAACAATAATAAATTAATAATTTAACTTAAAAAACAATCATACCAACCTATCAATCTAAATAAAAAAATTATCATTATCATACATTAATATATAATTTTTTTAAACATAATAAAATTTTATTATTACTATCCTGTATCATTACCACACATTATTGTACATTAATTATCCACCACAAAATTCATCCAAACAAAATATTAGTTGCAGTTATTTGCAGACGGCGTCTCAATCAGTAGAATAATTGACAGTCCGCCAAAATAATTTACGAGAAAGACATTACATACTGATAATATTAAAAAATTCAAAAACTACTGAAATACTCCCCCAAAGATAACTACTAAAATACAGAAATTAAAAAGTGATACAATAAAATCACACAACTTTACCAATCTTTGAGGAGTTCTCCAGCAACATCCTTATAACTTACTTTCTTTTTCTTCACAACTTCCACAATCTCAACATTGGAATCCATTGATTGTTTTTCTTCTTCAATGATTGGATTTTTGTTTTCAGCCTTCTTCATTCCGAGGCTTGGAAGCATGTCCATTAACATAGCTTGAACAG